TTTTTTTTTTAAAAAAGTTATCAAGCTCTTAAAAAATCACCCGATACAATGACACGACGACGAACTCATACGAGTATTTATGTATATACATACTTGTATATATGTATAATGGAAAAATGTACAAATGTAAAAATGTACAAATGTAAAAATGTTTTTTGTAGAAGAATACTCATAAATCAGCAGTCGCTTTACTGTTTGCAAACCTATTTATATTCTTTTTACACACAAACCTTAATACGAAGTGTATATATGTATGCATATGTACAATACAAAGCATCGATTAAATATATAAAAAAAAAAAAATTATTATAGATGTATATATTTACTTACACATATAAATATGCAGAAATTTACTGTATTCAATATAATTACATTTGTACTTTAATCTTGAAGGGATTAGAGGAGCTATGCATATACTATATATACGAGTATATTAAAAACCAGAAATAATCATGACTAAAATTATACATATGTTTGTAGGTATTCGTATAAATAAGTAGTTGCATATACTAATTATCTCAGTCACGACTTAATGGATTAAATGATGGCATCTTGATTCACATGCTATAAAACATATAGCAATTAACATCTTTATTCTTTGAAGCAACGTTAAGCTTACAGAAACATCAGAAAAGTTTTGAAATTCCTCTCTACTAAGGGTAACCCGTATTTTCTGTTCAAGAGATCTAGCAATACTATAAATGACATTATCTCTTGCGAAGTTAGTAAACTTTGTAGGCTGGTATTTTCTTAACGGGTATATCTAGTGCGAACTAAAAAACATCGATTTTTAAGAATTAAAAAAAAAAACCTGCAGTATCGATTGTTTTCAAATTTTCAGAGAATATTTATATATGCTTCAGGAAAACATAGTAAAATTTTTGGAACAAATGTGTAAATACATATGGTACATACATGTGGTTGCTAATAAACGGTTAGTTTTACACAAAACTACGACCTACGCAGAAAAAAATTGGCAGCGCCCAAAGACCAACGGATAAAATGATAAAGGATTTGCGCAATATTGATCAGTGAGAACAAACTAAAAACTTACTGGTCCGAATTCTTGACATTTGCGAGAAATTTTGCTTTTTTTTTAATTCAAAGA